AAATTTGTTGGCTGAGCATCGGATGATACCCGAGCGATTTAAGTTGTGACAGTGACGAAGAATTCGTTCCTCCGATGGACCATATTTCGGATTCTGAGGATGATAACGAACGCATGTGCAAGAAGCTGCATCAGCAGGATGATTCAACTATGGCAGAAAACGTTATTTGGGAAAACGAGTTGACATCAATGAAAACATTTACTTTAATAAAATCCGAGTTTTGCTTAACCTGTTTCAGGTAACAATCCTATAGATTTCTTCATCATTTTTCCACTGATGGTATCTTGGGAAGAAATAGTTGCTGAAACTAATGATTATGCTCATAAAAGTATTTTTCGCAGGAAAAAAAGAAACATTCTCGCATCAATGCTTGGAAGAGCACAAAAGAGGAACTCTGGTATTTGTGGGATTGATCATACATACGAACTATATGAATTAACCGTATACGAGATATTGGAAAACAGATTCACTGTTTGGTTACGTTTATTTTTCCGAAAATATGAGCGGAATCGGTTTTGTTGTTACTGAGGGCATTGCACTTCTCAAAAACCCAGATCAGAATACAGAGCTTCCAAGGATACTGTATAAAGTAAGATATATGGTGAATTTGTTACGTGCGAGATCTGAAATATATTACCGGGGTGAGATTAGTTTAGATGAATCGATGGTATTGTGGCGTGGATGGCGTATTCAGACAGTATATACCAAAAAACGTCACAAATATGTATCAAGTTGTACGTGATCACAAACCCTGATGGTATGGTTTTGAAATTATGATATATACAGCATGTTGAATGATTCTGGTGAAAAAGAACATGCAAAAAAAGTCGTTATGAATTTACTCGAGGGAATGCTGGATGTAGGACATAGCATATTTATGGACAATTATTATAACGGCTATGAACTGTCAAAATGTCTTGTTGATCTGAAAACTCATTGCACTGGGACAATCAGAAAGAACAGACATTTTTGAAAGAGGTAAACAAAAAATAAAAAACTGTAGCAAAGTATGCTAATGGTGTGATGATTGCAAAGTGGCAGGATAAGAGAGATGTCACTTACATTTCCAATGAATATAAACATGATATGGTGGAAATTTTAGTATGAGGTAAACAAAAGAGAAATTAAATCAATCTCTACCTGTAATTCAATATAATAAATTTATGGCCGTTATTGATAAGCAAGATCAGATGCTTGCTTATTATCCTTGTAAGAGAAAAACAATTAGGTGGCCCACGAAAATTGTGCATATTTTGCAAATAATGATGAACAGTTCCACTTTATCTATAATAAGTATTCCAATGAAAATACATCACTCTAGAACTACCGTTCATCCATGATAAGAAAGTTTACTGAAACAGCCATTGGTTCTTCATGCTCCTGTGTGTGATCAGTTTGAATCTGAACATGTGCTAAGTACACGGAAAGGGAAAAATGACGGAAAAGTTCCAAGAAAGCAATGCAAAAGCTGCTATTCCCAATGAAAATGTAAAGATACAATATATGCTTGCAAATTTTGTGAAGGATCTCCCATGTACTGCTTAGATTGTTCAAAGATAATACACAAATAACATTCTAGAGGTATCTTTTTAAATAATGCCTTTGTAATTTTCTTGTTATAAATTCCTTTGTAATATGTACAATTGTCTGTAATACATATTAATATAAAAATAATGCGTACTGTCACTTATTTTTCTTATTTAAATTTATTTTTTACATTCCGCGTGCCAGCGCGTAATGTACCATTTGGGTAAAATTTTGACATGTAGTCCCAATCACGCACTGGCACGTAATTAAAAAATTCTTTAATGAAAGGCTTAAATAATACTTAGGGATCACATAATTATCTTTTATTATATTTTTAAATCATATTTCTTATAATAAGTATGTTGGCATCTGGACACAATTTACTTCCATATGGGTGGCAATAACTATCAATCTAACTCTAGTGATTGGTAGTCAATGTGTTAAGGACTGAATCGGTATGATGATGAGGAATAAGATCAATAAAATAAAGACTAAAACTCTTTGTGTATAAATTTTTCCAGTAACTTAATTAATGAGAAGTAAGGAAAATGTTCCTTGAGTACATAAAATTGATTCTGGAGCAGATGTTAGAAAGTTAACCCTTCATGGAGAAGAAAGGACTACCACTTTATGTAACTCTAGGAAAGCTTGCCTCAAAATACTTTTTAAGCTGAAAGGAGGAAAAAGTTCCACAGCAACTGAATAGCTTAAAAAGGACTTGTATGTATGAATGTAACAATGTGTAACTGTATGTTTAAATACAGTTAGAATAGTTCACAAGGTTGTATGTTCATATTAAGTCTATCAGCCTGCAGCCATCTATTGGTAGCAATGGTAGTATCTATCAATGAGAACTGGAAATACCATAGTTTCCATCAGCAAGTATTTGTCATGGAGCAGCAGCACTAAAACATGCAGCTATATTTAGCAGCTGGACTAAAAGCATGCTTAAGGTGGGGAGCTAAATACTCCATACCTTTTCAGCAAACTTTTGGGATCCTATTTAATCTTCCTGCATTATACACCCCAATGTTTGAAAGTGCAACTGTAAAATTAGTGAGCATATTATATTTAGAGGTATGTCTAATATATTTAACTAACTAACATAGATATTAGTTTGTTGAGTCTTTATGATTTTGAGAACATACATTTCTGATGAATTGAAGGGCATATTTAATGAGCTCAGTGCATTGAGGCAAAAGTGAGTAGAAATTCAATGAGGCATAGATCATATCTTATATGAATCACTGATCTGTAGATGACAGCTATTTATGGATTTTTTCTTGATATGTATAAGTAGTGGCACTACCTTTCTGTGAAAATTGGAAGCATTGTAATTTTCATTCAGTAGTATTGAATCATCAGTCTTTCATCTTGTCAACAGTATTAAATCATCAGTCTTTCATAGGCATGTATTTTTATTCACTAAAATTAACACATGCTCTAAGTCCAGGCACTAAATACGCTATATTTTTTCTGTGAGCAAGTGAGATTTATCTATACTAGCTTTGCAAAAGTTGGACATGATAGAAAAAATGGATAATGTGTTTAAATTAAGCAAACGTGTACAGTAAGTTATAACTTGTGGCTACAATTGTAGTTTTATGATCAGTTGGTGTTTATAATGCTTCCCAACATTTTTGTGCATTCAGTATATTTTTGATATATTATTTGATTTTTGTGCTAGATTTTATCATACTATATGCATCATTTTTATGTTAAGTCTTCATTTTTCAACTATTCAATAAAAATTGTGGAATTCACAATTAAAGTTTTGAATAGTCTTTACTAAAAATTACTGTCTCTGTTTTCATGATGCAATGAATGAATATTATTACATTTTGATCATATTTGATAATTGAATATTATAATTATTTCTATACTGTTTTGATGAGGTTAAGCTCATAAATTTTATTTATAATTTTTAATCATGTGCTTTTTTGTTTTCCAGCTTTGTTGATGAATATGATCCTACATAGGTAACTTTTTAATATAAAATATTTTTAATATAGAATATTATTAAAATAACTAATTTTGTAATATATCAGTGCTGTTTCAGAATGTGTAAACTATATCAGCGTTCAGTTTTTCTTTAGTATATGAACTTTGATGTAGAAAAATTTAAGTACTATTCCGTTAGAGCGGCATCAGTTAAAAATAAAGAAAAAAATTAGAAGAAAACAGTGTTACAACAACACAACAAATATCATGCCTCGAGAATTTAAAGTTTGAAATATTGAGGCTCAAGATTACTTGTTTTCACTTGAAATATCGTCATGATTTTTTTTTTCCCTCTCTTCATATTTTGCCATTTTTTTTTAGTATGATGGGCTACACAATTTGGCAATTGCCTAATGACGAACAGGCTTTTATAAGATTCCTTCAGGAAAAGAAATAATTCATAGCAATTGATTTTCTTCCTAAAATCATTCGATAAAGTAACTTTTGACTCAAACATAGCTCCTGTATGGTGTTGTTACGTATGTTGTAATAATAAAACAGGGGATTGAGAAACCAAACATGGTTTAAAGGCTTGCCTCTTTCTTTCCTCAGTGTCATTCTTTTTATCTGTCTGTGGTGTTATGAACTGATGCCAACTAAATTTTGCTAACTTCAGTTAGAAATCAGCCATAATATGACAATAAAATTGACATAACTACTTGTGGGAGGTATGTGCAAATAGTTTGATATAAATAAGATCAGTGGAGACGACAAAATTGTAGAAACAAATGAAAGTCCTTTCACAAGAAGAAAAACAGCATTGGATGTGTTCTTCTGGAACAATGGGTATTGGGGAGTTTATGCCGGGAAAAGCAAAGATTGTTTTCTGGTCCCCATTCCTGATCATCATGCTGTAACATTGATGACTGCAATTCAGGAAAATTTTGCAAGTAGCAGCATTATATTTTCAGACTGCTGGAAAGGACATAAGAAAGAGGAATTAAGAAATGTTGGGTATGACCATTTCACTGTGAATCACAGTTATAATTTTGTAGATCTCTAAACCAGATGCCATACGCAAACTGTGGAGCGATTGTGGGGCAGTGCTAAATAGAGTAATAAACATCAGCAGAACACAACAATTAACCACAATTTAGAGTCATAGTTGATAGAATTTATGTGGTGTCTGTTATATTCAAAAATCGAATTTCTTCTTATAATATATTATATACGCCACCCGTTTAGATTGAATTTTGTTTTTTATTTATTTGTTTATTATTTTTTTTAATTTATGCGTAGAATATTCTTTATGCCACCTGTTTAGATCAAATTTCATTTTGTTTTGTTATTTTTTTTTTATTTACGTGAAGAATATTCTAGATTAAAAAGTTAAAAAGAAAAGTTTCCTTTCTTTATGAATTATGAAATTATGAAATTAAAAAAAATTCACTTTTTGCAGAACTAATTTTTTTAGTCTTTTGAATTCTATTATTATTTCATAATTTTATACTAGACAACTATTGGTGGCCAAGGGGAAAAAAGTAGCACATTTTTAACTGACACCACTCTAATGGAATAGTACCAAATTTGTCACAGATTTATAATTTTGTTTTGCATGTAACCTTTTTATGCACTTTAATTGTACAGAAGTAATGATATTTCAGTTTCTAAAAAGGGAATTTTCTCTCCTAATTAGGTTTTCCTACTATTTACGTGGGTGTGTGTTTGGGGGGGGGAGTGTTGAAAGAAGGGAGAAATCGTGTTCTAATAAGGAGAAAATTCTCTCAAGGAATACTTAAATTGTTTTTTAGGTTTAAAACTTCTCAGATCATTTGCAACATTACCAGAAATGACTGTGTATATTGAGCTCTTAATTTTAGGCATGAAATAGTCTAAATTTGGGACCTGTTTAATGAATGAATTAATTATATATAATCTTTCAGATAGTTTTGATTTATTCAGAAAATATGGTTTATTTAATTGACTAATTATATCGAATTATTGAATTATATTTACTGAATCCTTTTGTAAAGTAATATTTAATTACAGGTGCCTTGAATTGAGAATAGTTTTTTTTTAATATTTAAAACAAAATTTTAAGTTTGCACTGTATTATTCTGCTCTTCCTTTTATAAATGTATTTTAATGTTTTGCTTTTTGTGTGTGTGTGTGTGCAGAGGACTCATATAGGAAACAAGTTGTCATAGACGGTGAAACTTGCCTTTTAGACATTTTAGACACAGCAGGTCAAGAAGAGTATAGGTAATATTTACTTATGACACTTTTAAAACTTTTATTCAGGGTAAAATAAAATTCATATGCTAAATTTTGAAGCAGCAGTCAATAATTTTTGTGCAAGATTTTTGTTTAGTTTTAGGTATTGTACATCTTTTTTAATTAGTCATTGTTCCATTATTGCTAACAGTTTCTCCATCTAATGGAAATTCTTAAGTAATTTGGATTGTTACTGAGTACTGATGAATTTTAGTGAACAATATTTCCACCTCATCTAATGTATCTTCTTCAATATATATGCTCTGCTAGACCTGTGTTTAAGTAGCTTATAATGTTTTTATTGCATAAAGAAGGATTTTTATTTCACATTGAAATTTATTCCAAATTTTTATTTTTGTAGTTATTCTTTTCTGTTTTTGTAATCTGTTTTGAAATTTTATTACACTTATTATGTGTCTATGAAATATATTGAATATGAAGCTATTTTTATTGTTTTTAATTATAAGTATTGAAAGGAATTTGATGATATTAATTCTTATTATATTGTATTTGGATGATCCCCTCTTTTGTTTTATTTGTGATAAACATCTTATTTTAGGAAAATCCTGAGTACTTTCATATTGAAATTGGCTGTTGGCTGAAAAAAGAAGCAGACATTTCATTTTAACACAGAGAGAAAGATTGTGATATGGAATGTGATATCCCTTTGGCATTATTAGTTAACAAGATGATATTACTTTTAAGTATACACTGTGCGGCACAAAAAAAAAAAAAAAAAAGGCATCATGAAAAAGGGAATAAAATGTGTTGGAAATTGGCAGATAGACAGAGAATGCATATAAAAATAAGTGATTTTTAATTTTAAAAAAAAAGTAATACCATGTTTGAATATACAGAGTGATTGGTAAAAAGTAGGATGATCTCTTGCAAACAGTTTTATGGATGAAATCAGCATGCAGATAGTGTTGAGGGATGGTTGACTTTGTACTTTCAGCCATCCATTCTTCTGGTTGAGGCTGGGGCAGATCAGGCAAACGATGGCCAATCTCTAATGCTTAATGATGCCCAACACGATGATATGAGGTATGGAGATCACAGCCTTGCTCATCTGCCACGTGCAGTATCTGATACTGCTGTGTGAAGTTGGGCAGTATCTAGCTGGAAAACTACATTTTGCAACTGCTAATGATGGGGTATTGTAATAGGCTGCAGCACTCAGCCACATATCATTGTGCTGGGTTTTGGCCTCAGATATAAATCAGAGGTAACTGGCTGTCCATTGTGATGATACCTCAGACCAGATGCTATGTTTTCTAGCAGTACAATGTTTAATGCTTGCAGCAAATTTAGACATGTTTCCACATAGTTCTCAGACTTTTTCTCTGTGGCTGTAAATCATAAAATTAAAGTGAGGCTTATCAGTGTATAGCCACTCATCCAAGAGGCTGTGTTCTATCATTAGAGTCATTAGCAGTGGTAATTTTGCAGTAGCAAACAGTCTTTGTAAAGGGTAGCATGACTACAAACCACTTTTGCCCAGTCGTCTAGAAATTCTTGCTGATTTGGAGCGTTCAAAGCTGCTTGTATATTCTGCATTACATTAGCAATTATTTTTTTTTTAGAATTGCCATTGCATGTCTTTAGGTGCATTGTTCCAAACATGCTGACATTTATGCAGCAGTATCCCAGGCACCATTTTCAATCCATACCTCCAAATCCTTTTCACAGTTGACATATGTAGATGTAGTTTGGTAGGCCCTACCAGTCATTGGTAGGCCTAAAACAAATCTCTACTAAAAATGTGTGATTGCAAAAACTGACTTTGACATCATTTGCCAGGCATCTGTTCAACAACATATGTCTTCTGAGAAGAAAAACAGCTTCTCATAGATACAGAGAGTATCAACTGTTGACTCATCTAACATTTCTTTCCTTTTTATGTGAATAACTGATGTAAGAAACCTGCATTTCAGATAATTTACTTAAATTATTTGGCTGTGTACTCCTTGTGAATATTGCATTTTTTCTATCAGGTAGTCTGTAATTCAATTAATAATATCCAGATATTTATTTTTTTATTTTTATTTATTTATTTTTTTTGTCAGCTAACATGCATTCAGTAATCTGTATGCCTATTCTACAATCACTGGATCTTATCTACAATAGTGCGTACAATATTGGTTTAAGAAAACCGGTATCGTCTACCACCTCTAACTCAACAGAGAAAACCATTCTTTGGTCCTCGGTTGAAACGCATTCAGGTTCATTTGACTTCATCAGAAGGGGCAAGTCTTCAGACATCTTTAGACCAATCATAGTACACACAAGCGACATAGTTTATAGTGCACAGTTTAAGTTCTAGGAATATCTATTTGAACACATTTCCCCATCATTTGACTGTGATCTTATTTCATGCAAACTACACTACAAAAATATAATTCTCTCAGTAATTACTGACATTAATTTCAAGTTATCTTATTATGGAATACAAGTTTAAATGCAAAAATTATTTCATTTCATGCAAATTCCTTACTCAGAAATTATGTCTGCGAAGTAAAGCACTGTGGTTAACCTTTGACTTTGCATTTTCTATATTTTCACCTTTGGATGAGTTGTGCTATTGCACCCTAATTAACTTATTAAGACTGGCTTATTAAGATACATTAATCTACCATTATTTGATATATTATAACCGCACGGGATCTAAGAAGTCCAATGAATTTAAGTTGATAATATATGGGATTAGCTTGTTATAAATAAGTTACTTCAAGGAAAATTTTTATATGGCATATTCTTCATGTGGTCTTAATATGTTAATAGTTTCAGGAAATTATTTCATCCCTCTATGCATGGTATGAGTAGTTATCTTATCCAGCTGGCAAATAGAATATCTGTGGTTTTTAATTCCAACATTACTCACATTATAGTTATGACAAAACAATTTAACTTAACAGTGGCACCCGAACTAAATTGGGAGTCAGATTTGGTCAAATAAAACTAATGGCTTTTCCCAGTCACCCTTTAACCTTTTAAATGTCATGCCTGAAATAATTTCGGGCACAGCACTGGTGGTCCAAATGTCATGCCCGAGTATTACTCAGGGTAACTTTTTTTTTAGTGCATCATATTGGTATACCCAAATATATAACATGAGAAGTTTATTTTGGCTTCAATTCAATATATGACAGCACTTTACTGAAGGTTTCAAAGGGTAGAGGTTTATGTTCAAAGTGGGCGACATTTAAAAAATTTTTTGATTACGTGGCAAACATTTGATTTTTGCAATAAAAAATGACAATTTATGCACCCAAATCATCAAAATAATTTTACAGTTAAAAGGTTAATTAGGTAAAATATAAAGAAATATCACATTCCCTCCTATGCATACTATCGTGGTGTAAATGGGTAACATATTCAACTGGCAAATCTGCGGATTAAGTTCTGACAAGGGAATGGCTAGATTCTCTAGTTTCATAACTGAAATATTTATTATCAGATAAATATTTTTATTAAAACAATATTCTTATGGTCATTCATTTACGTAGCCACTTATGTATTTGAATAATCTTTATGAAATTATCTGTTGAAGAAAAGGTAAGTCATTTAATTTTCAAAACAAAAAAAAATCTAATGTGTACACCACATGACTTCCTTGTATGGAATATTAAATTATATGCAACTTTTTTTTTTTTTCCATTTTATTTAAACTTATTAGATTGAATTAAACCTACTTCGACGACAGCGCATAAACCACAATAGAATAAATGCATTCTTTAAAATTCACTTTAGTTACCATAGCGACATTCTGGTGCTAGGTTTACTTAACAGTATTATATTTCATTCATATTAGAACTCAGAATGCACAAAATGTATATCATTTAAAGAATTATCTAATCGTTTCCACATGTTCTATTCAAATACTATAATAAAGCTAGAACTATGTATAAAAGAAAATAGAAAAAAAAAAAAAAAAAAAAAAAAAAAAAACAGTTTTTCACAGACGATTGAATATTTCTCATTCAATTAATTCAGTTCTCAATTCGCGAGAAGTCAAAAATACATAAAAACTCAAAATATCTGTATTAAAATTTACGAAGTAAATCTCAAACGCTTATTTCCTCGAAAAAATTCCAGAAAGAATTAAGCATGATTTAATTGGCAATAATAAATGAATGCATTATCTTTGTTGTTGCGAAGCTAAGTTTCTCTAGATTGGCACAAATCCACTAGTATGCTGTTTCAAATGTAAACAATCAATGGCCGCCATAAAAAAAGGCTTAGCGGTACTTAAACAGCTTTAAAATTGTTGATAATTCTAAAAATATTGCATACAGATTTACTAAGGGCATAAAAACCTTAACCGGAAGATAAAAACAACACAATTCAATCATTTTTAAAACAAAAAATGTGCAATTTACAAACATATAAGAGTAAAGAAACTGAGATCACTGAGCCGGGTAACAGAGTGGATATATATATAAATATATTTATATACGTTTGGTTTCGGCCGATTGCAACCAAAATACGAGGTGCACATCTGCATGTTATAGCAGTACTATATACAAAATTTCAACGTTCTGAGGCTACTCATTTTTGAGTTATGCGAGATACGTACGTACGTACGCATGTATGTACGAATGTGTGTATGTATGTACAGATGCCACGAAAAATTCTCTTCAGAATTAATTTTAAAGCAGTAATTTTTTTGAAGGAAAAGAGTATTTTATTCTGTCCTTACGTACAGATATCACGCAAAAACATCGTTAAATTGCATTCGATAGCGGTCAAAATGGATATTTTCGTTGAAATATGCTACCTGAAACTTTTCGCGATTACAATACTTCCTTTTTACTTCGTAAAAGGAAGTAATATTAGCTAACCAATAAATAATTGCAAAATTCTACTGAATTTTTCTTTGTCTATGCAAATGAATAGAAAGGCATCAGCATATAAATTCACATATTATTTGCACATATGATTGTCACATCGTATTACAAAGTATCATATAATCAGCTCTTTTGTAAAAG